GAAAAGAAGGGTCTAGGCCAGAAACGTCAGCCTTCCTGCTCCTCTGATGCTGCTTGGCCTGCTGTGTTCATTCAGATCTACACCTTGTTATCTCATTTACTCCAATCACATTAGCTGACAATGTGTCAGAGTTTGAGGTTCTCAGCATTTCACTTCGAGAAAATGTCTCAACTTGAATCGGAATGATGACACTGGCTTCTGGCTGATTTGTTCCCCGAAGAGATGTGGACTGGCATATTTTTTGTTACCCACTCGTCATACCCCTGGAGAAATCGAGGATGAGCTGCTTTTTCAAATGGGTGCATCACTTGGTGTGGAGATGCACACAGGAAACCGGAATGGAGGGGAAGCCGGAATATTGATTCAGCGTCACTGAAGGAAGGGTGATACATTTCGAAGTCAGGATGGTGAATGACTCGTGTTTGGGGGGATGGGGTGGTGGTGGTGGTGTGGAGATTGCCAGTGATAATGTTCCCATATATCTTCCGCCCTTGTCATTCTAGATGGAAGTGGTCATTGCTTTGGAAGGTGTTGCCATTTTCTTCTTTTGTTACCTCCCAACATTCAATAATAAAGGGTATCACAACGTTGTCTCAAAATAGAAATGTGAAAAGATGACATGACGGTGTAACTCAGCTGAGATAATTGTATTCAGCTTGAGGATAATCAGCGTTAATCTCACCTCCATCTTAATGGCCTTTTGATATGAGTACAAGACCGAAATAACAGTGGCTGTCCTTTTTGTAGGCCAGAGCAGGAAGTGCAATTGTTATACTTCCACATACGCACTAAGCAAAAGGCAATGGGTCTCCAAAAGCTTCCATCTATGCATTCAGGTGTTAGTGCTAATGTGTATATGTCTGTGTACCTGTGTGACCGTTTTGTTGTGCATAGCTGTTTTGAGGTGTTTGTGCTTGTGTTTCGATGTGTTCTGCTGTGCCTTGTTCTGTCTACTTCAGTGTCTGATGGAAAACGTTCAAACGTTTAGAAAATTTCATCTGGAGAGTTGTCTAACGGATCTAATGTCAGCTCAGAAGGATCGAGCTGTTACCTTCTTATTTCGATCGACTGGAGGGCTGATAATAAATGAATTAATCAAAAGATCCCGCAGCCTCTTTCGTTGTTGCACCCGCCTCAGTTCGACACGATGCAGTTCCGCCCTCTGCTGGCTGATGTCCATTAGTACTCAATATGAAGACCAAACGAGTCAGGGATTCAGTCGGAGGGAGGGTAGCAGCACACAGCGCCATTCAAACTGGCAGCATGATCAACTCACACACAGACATAGTGTGCAGTCTGTGATACTCTCAACCCGCATGTCCAGCTAACAGTCATAATTTCACTGGTCATTTTGATGTTTCTTTTGTCCTCTGTTTCTCTTTGTTCGCCCGCCTGTCAAACTTCCACATCTTCCATGTCAGTTTCCCAGAGTAACAACCTACAGTCTGTTAAGAGGGTGTGAGTTTCTGGATCAGGGATGGATCTCACAATGGAATGAAGCTGATCTTTACAACAGCCTCAAAGTTAGATTCTCTTCACTGGCCGGGTGTACATCAGCTGTCTTCATATTGCTGGAAATGTTCCTTAATGTATTGATTTGTTCGTGACAATTAACAGATCAGACATTCGTCTCCACTCCTGGACTGTAAAGAGTGGAACTGTTCTTATTAGCACACCACTAACCTAATACAAAATTAGTTTGCGATTTCCCAGCCCTGGAAGTGTGCAGAGAAATGTGCGTGAGCAAACATGCTTTGCATTTATCAATATCGGAATAATGTCAGTATAAAAGCGAGCTGCATGGAGGGTTCGCATGTCATTGCGGTAGTGCACCTGCCCTTGAATTATAGGCTCGCCTTCAAGTCCACCAGGCTCTAAACATGCGTCATGAAAACTTCGCAGTGTAGATGAGGAAAAGGTGTTTCACCTTGTGGGAGAGTCTAGGAGCATAATCTCAGAATATGGAGTCATATATTTAAAATAGAGATGAGGTGGCATTTCTTCTCTCAGAGGGAAAAAAAAATCAGTGGAATTATTTATGAAAGCGTTTGGGTGCTAAATATTTTCAAGTTTGAGAGAGACGTGGAATGGTTAGATAAACTAGGCCTGCATCTTTTTGAGTTTGTGAGAGTCAGACACGTGTGTGATACAATCTCACCCTTTGCATAGCCCGAAGCAACTACATCTGTAACAGCGAAAATCGACAGTCAATCAGTCTGATGGGGAGCATTAGCAGACAGCAGCATTCAATCTCAAAGCAGCACCAACACACACACACACGCACACACATGCAAGCACACAGTGTGTTCAAACTGAAGATAGCTGCTGTAAAATTATTCAGAGGTACAGTGGGTCTTGCCATATGATGCCGCTGTGATCAGTGAGTCAACAAATACACTCAGATGGGAAGAAGAAAGGTGAGACTGAGCTCACTGATGAATGCTGAGAGGACGTAACAGAGGGAGAGAGTAATATTCTTGAGTGTGGGGACAGAGAAACAACAATAGAGAACCAGAATAAAGGAGAATCTGATAAAATTATATCAGAGTCACAGCTGGATAAGGTTGAGATTGAGCCCAGTGATGTGGAAAGTGGGACTGTAATTTGAGGGGACAGTTTGTCGGGCCGCAAGGATTATGTGTTGGGTGGAAATCTCGGGGGCCATGTGGGCAATTTTGGGACACCCCAAAACTGGTCAAGAGCAACAAATGGCGTCAGCTAAGGAAGTTGGTCAGATAAAGAACAGAATCTTGAGAATAAAGGGTACAGTGATCCTGTTGAATTGCTTACCATAGAAGGAGGTCAATTCATCAGAATTCTCAGGGATCCATTGCAAGTGCAGTGTTTCTAAACTAGATCAGGATTTTTCAATTCACTGAGAATGTGCTACCTTCCTTTGGTACACAAAGCATCACCAGCCCCAAAAAGGCAGTGAGGCGGGAACCTCCAGATATACGTCAGCAGTTTACTGAGGTCGGTGTATTAGAACGAGAGTCTTCAAATATCCGAATGGCCTGTTACACAGGACAGCGACAATGCAGCTACTCAGCATCTGGTTCGTGTGGGGAGCAATTCTAGCAGGTAAATGAGGAGGAAATCCATTTTGTATTTCTTTTTTCAAGTCAAGGTTTAAACGGAGACCAGTTCGACAATTTAGAATTGATGCCTGTTTTCTTTTTCAGACCTGTGTCGTGGAGATTCTGTCACTCAGTCACTCTCCTCAGATGTTGGCACAGAAGGAGAAGCAGTTACTCTAAGCTGTACCTATGAAACTACATTGAGCGACTATACATTATACTGGTACCGACAGCACCCAGACAAGCAGTTCGAGTATATACTGTGGAAAAATACTGCTGGCTATGATGATAAAGCAAATTTTGCTAAAAATCGATTCTCTGTAGAACTTCAGAAGGGGAAGAAATTCACCAGTTTGACTATCTCATGGCTACAGCTGACTGACACTGCCATGTATCACTGTGCTTTCTGGGACCTCCCAGTGATGAAATACAGCCTCCCTTCTGTACAAAAACTACATGTGGACCATAGATTGATCTACATACCGGAGCTTTCACAGAATCTCCAGAAGTTACTATGTGTTTTCAAGAGTTTCAATTCAGACTGCGAGAAAACCACACTAGCCTCACAACAAACTGTCATCTGAGCTGCTGAGAAAATCGACTACCGGCTGTGAGCATGCGCACAGACACAGACCATAATGATGTCAGAATTTCATGTTGCACTTCAGCTGTCTTCCCAATACAGGGAAAAATTGACTAATTTCTTGATTTTTTCGTGTATATTCATCCCCAATCTTAGAGTCTCAAGTTTCTAACCATTCCCATTAATGTGCACAAATATAATACAAAATTAGTTTGTCTTATTCTTGGGCTGGAGGTCTGGAGAGAAATGAATGTGAGCAAACATGCTTTGAGTTTATCCACCTCAGAATAATTCATCAGTGTATAAGCAAACTGCATGGAGGCAGCCGGTAACATTGTCGTAGCGTCCCTACCTGAGTCAGGTGGGACACCTCAACTCCCACATGCTCGAGAGGTTTCTAATGAAAACTTGACAGAACAGACGCTGAAAATGTATTTTCCCCGTTGGAGAAGCTGGGAGCAGATGAAGAATCTCAGAATAAAGAGTCACACGTTGAAACTAGAAATGAAGAGGCATTTCTTCTCTCAGAGGAGGAAAGGTCCGTGAAATTATTTGCCTCAGTGTATGGGTGATAAATATGTTCAAATGTGAGATAGACATGGAAAGGCGAGATCGTCTGGGCCTGTATTCTCTGGCGATTGCAAGAGTCAGATATGATTGAATTGAAACATACAAATCCTGAGAGGACTTGGTTTGGTGAATCTCTAGTCCATGCCCATGTCCGTTTTTGCAAACTCACCCTCTTTGCAATTCCCACATTGACTCCATCTGTAATCTTTACACTGGCCACCTCTAATTCCCACATTTACAGTGTGCATGTGTACTGATACTGCTGTAAGATTGGATGCTGATGTCTGCTGCTGCTCTCCCTCTGACTGATGCCCGAGTAGTTTTCACTGTGGGCATTTGTAGAAGCTTCAGAACACCAGCAGACGGTGGCATTGTATCACTTTAAACTCCAATTGAAGTGCAATCATAGAGGATTTGATCTCTTAAAATACAGGCAAAGCAACTATAACTGCACACAGCGAATATCAAAAGGTAATCAGTCAGATGGAGAGCAGCAGCAAACAGCAGCATTAAATCTCACAGCAGCACCAAACACACACACACACGCACACACGCACACACGCACACACGCACACACACACGCACACACACACACACACACACACAAACACTGAGGGTGCTTCAACTGAAGATAGCTACTGTAACATTATTCATATTTAGAGTGAATCCTGTTCTGTGGGGTCTCTGTGATAACAAGGTGTAGAGCTGGATGAACACAGCAGGCCAAGCAGCATCAGAGGAACAGGAAGGCTGACGTTTCGGGCCGAGACCCTTCTTCAGAAATGGGGGAGGGGAAGGGGGTTCTGAAATAAATAGGGAGTGGGGGGCGGAAAGAAGATGGATAGAGGAGAAGATAGGTGGAGAGGAGACAGACAGGTCAAAGAGGCAGGGATGGAGCCTGTAAAGGTGAGTGTAGGTAGGGAGGATATAGGTGGAGAGGAGACAGACAGGTCAAAGAGGCGGGGATGGAACTAGTAAAGATGAGTGTACGTGGGGAGGTAGGGAGGAGATAGGTCAGTCCAGAGAGGACGGACAGGTCAAGGGGGAAGGATGACGTTAGTAGGCAGGAGATGGGGGTGGGTCTTGAGGTGGGAGGACGGGATAGGTGGGAGGAAGGACAGGTTAGGGAGGTGGGGACGAGCTGGGCTGGTTTTGGGATGCGGTAGGGGGAGGGTAGATTTTGAAGCTTGTGAAGTCCACATTGATACCATTGGGCTGCAGGGTTCCCAAGTGGAATATGAGTTGCTGTTCCTGCAACCTTCGGGTAACATCGTTGTGGCACTGCAGGAGGCCCAGGATGGACATGTCGTCTGAGGAATGGGAGGGGGAGTTGAAATGGTTCGCGACTGGGAGGTGCAGTTGTTTAGTTAGAACCGAGCGTAGGTGTTCTGCAAAGTGGTCCCCAAGACTCCGCTTGGTTTCCCCGATGTAGAGGAGGCCACAACGGGAACAGCGGATGCAGTATACCACATTAGCAGATGTGCAGGTGAACATCTGCTTGATGTGGAAAGTCTTCTTGGGGCCTAGGATGAGGGTGAGGGGGGAGGTGTAGGGGCAGGTGTAGCACGTCCTGCGGTTGCATGGAAAAATGCCGGGTGTGGTGGGGCTGGAGGGGAGTGTGGAGCGGACAAGGGAGTCACGGAGAGAGTGGTCCCTCTGGAAAGCAGATAAGGGTGGGGAGGGAAAAATGTCTTTGGTGGTGGGGTCGGATTGCAGATGTTGGAAGTGTCGGAGGATGATGCATTGGATCCGGACGTTGGTGGGGTGGTACGTGAGGATGAGGGGAATTCTGTTTTGGTTGTTATTGCGGGGAGTGGGTGTGAGGAATGAGTTGCGGGAAATGCGGGAGACACGGTCGAGGGCATTCTCGACCACTGATGGGGGGAAGTTGCGGTCCTTGAAAAACGAGGATATGTGAGATGTACGGGAGTGGAATGTTTCATTCTGGGAGCAGATGCGGCGGAGGTGAAGGAATTGGGAATAGGGGATAGTATTTTTGCAGGAAGGTGGGTGGGAGGAGGTGTATTCTAGGTAGCTGTGGGAGTTGGTGGGCTTGAAATGGATATTGGTTTCTGGGTGGTTGCCAGAGATGGAGACAGAGAGGTCCAGGAAGGAGAGAGAGGTATTAGAGATGGTCCGGGTGAACTTATTAGAGATGGTCCAGGTGAGATTCTCCAGCATCTGCAGTTCCTACTATTTCTGTTGGGCCTCTGTCTTTAGTGAGTCAGAAAAACACCCACAGCAGCGAGGAAGGAAGGTGAGACTGAGCTCGGTGAAGAATACTGACAGGAACAAACAGAAGGAGAGTGTTATAATCTTGAGCCTGAGGACAGAAAAGCAGCAATAGAAGTTCAAAATAAAGGAGAATCAGGTAAGAGTGATACGAAAGATGCTGCTGGATAAGATTGAGGTTGAGTCCTGTGGTGTGGAAGGTGTGATTATAATTTGAGAGGGGACAGTTTGTGGAGTCACCAGCTGCACGTGTGGGTTGGAATTCCCAGGGGTGGCGTGGACAATTTGGAGGCAGCCCTAAACTAGTTAAGAACAAGAACTGGCGTCAATTGGGGAAGTGCAGCAGTGAAAAAAAAAAACAGTGTTTTTTCCTTCATGTCAAAATATACCTTATTCATTAAAAACATCACTTTGTGTATATACATTGACACAAAAGTAATTTGGTTCTGCACAGTTACATGTCAAATAAACATAGAAAACATTAGAGTTTGGCTATCCACAAAACCCAAGACCTCTCTTACTCAAACAATACTAATAATTACACATATCTGACACACTAGGGGGGGTCCAATAACTGAACAGACCCCCATTTATTTTCAGCAGGAAGACCTGAGTGGTCTTTCCCGACTGTGCTTTGGTGGCAGTTTCCCCAAGTTTTGGTGCGTCCCTCAGCATGTAGTCCTGGACCTTGGAATATGCCAGTCTGCAACCCTCGATTGGGTCAATTCCTTGTTCTGGAAGACCAACAAGTTTCAGTCAGACCAAAGAGCGTCTGTCATCGAGTTGATGGTCCTCAAAGAGCTTTTTGTCTCGTTGGCGTCCCAGGAATCAGACCATAAAGCATAGCTTCCTATATCACGGACCTGCTCGGTGCAACTCTCGACACAAACCATGGCAGACTTCCTCTGCAAAGGCACACTCCAGCCAGAGTTGTCTGGCAGTCTCAACACCCCACGCATCTGCTCCAAGGGAAGGATGTGGCGGGTGCAGACTGACTGGGTGTACATAAAGGATCTTATGCATAGTGCCCTTCTGACCACCAGCTAAGCAATGTCCTGGTGCTCTTTGGAAGGTTCTAGTGATGAGGCATTCTACCAGACGACACTGACAGTCTTCTCAGGGAACCATGCAACAGGTCCAAACTCTCCTTTTCCCGTAGGGTCTCGTGGACACCATGAGCTGACCAGTTCCTGATGGATTTGTGGTCAAAGGTGTTTTTCTTTGCAAATTTCTCCATGAAGGTCAGATGATACAGTATAGTCTGACTGGGGCGTTCCACAGCAGCGAGGCCAGTCTCATCCTTTGCAACACAGGGGACAGGTAGGACCTCAACATGTAGTGACACTTGGTGTTTGCGTACTGGTGGTCTCTGCACAGCTTGATGCAGCCATATGCAAAGGTGGCCATTAGGATGAGGGCAACATTGGTACATTCACCACCCCCATATCCTGAGGTTTGTAAGTGGAGTCCCTGCAGACCCGGTCTATTTTAGGCTTCCAGACGAAATGGAAGATGTCTCACGTGACTGAAACAGCACAGTTTTGGAGGATGGGCCAGACCTGTGCTATGTACAACAACGGAGAGATTGCCTCAGACCTGATGACCAGGTTTTTACCTGCAATGGAGAGGGAACAGTACTCCCAAAAGATCAGTTTCTGCTTTACTTTGGCGACCTGCTCCTCCCAAGATTTTGTGCATGCCCCAGCCCCTAAGAACTATATTGCCAGCACATTCAGGTAGACTGTTCTGACGGTAAAGGGGATGAAAAAGCGATCAGCCCAGTTCCCAAAGCATCTGGCCTCGCTTTTGCACCAATTACCTTGGCTCCCGAGGCCAGTTTGAACTGATCGCTGATGCTCATGAGTCTGCACACTGACAGTCGATGCATGTAGAGTGAGGCATTCAACTGCAGGCCTCTGCTGCCTGGAATAGACACCCTCTCAGGCTCGCATCCTTCCTGAAAGACTCAGTAAACAGCTCTAGAAAATACACAAACAAGGCAGGAGATTGAGGGCACCCTGTCTGACTCCAGATCTGATCGTGAAGCTTTCTGGTTCCCACCCATTGATTGAGTTGCGTTAACGATGTTGGTGTAGAGCAGTCAGATCCAATTGCAGATTCACTCCCAAAGGCCATTTTGGAGACCACGTCCCAGATCTACATGTGTGATATCCTGTACAAGGCCGTCTCCTGTTCCAGACTGATGAGGCAGGCGTCCACCCCGCTGTCCTGCGCATAGACAATCGTATCCCTGAAGAATACGAGTTTTTCTGAGATCGTCCTGTCCGATACAGCACAAGTTTGTTTGGGGTGAATCACCGATCCCAGAGCAGACCTGACCCAGTTGGCAATCACCTTAGACAGGCTTTTGTAGTATGCAATCTGCAATGATATTGGCTGACAATTTCCAAATTCCTCCAACTCCCTCTTCCGCTTGTAGACGAGCATGATGATATGGTTCATCATGTAGTCGCTCATGGTACCTGCTAAAAACATACTATTGTAGACGTCCAGCAGGTCTTGGCCGTTCAAATCCCACAGGGCCGAATAAAGCTCGGCCGGAAAGCTGTCGCTTCTGACAATTTTGTTCTTTTCTAAGGAGTGAATGGCCTTGGGTATCTCATCCAGAGATAACAATTAATCCAGTCTCTGCCGTACGCTGTCGTCTCGGACCTTAGTGGTAGTGGACAAGAACGACAGGTAGATAAAAAATGAAAAGTACAGTGTCTTGACAGTAAAGGGTGCAATGAATCTAGGGAATTGTTTATCCCAGATGGAATTCAATCTAGCAGAATTCTCTCTTCTCCCATTTAAGTGCAGTGACTGTAATCCAGGTCAGGATGTGTCAAATCATTGGGAGTTTGCTCTTATCCTTCCGCACGCAGATCATCACCACCCCCACAAGGCAGTGAGGGAGGAACATCCAGAAAACGTTTTAAATGGGGGAGGGGTTTATAGAGTGGGTGTCTACAAATACCTGAACTGCCCTGTTACGCAGAGAACAGCGACAATGCAGCTACTCAAGATTTGCGTTATGTGGGCATCAATTCTAACAGGTAGACGTGGAGGAAATGCATTTCACTTTTTTTTTCATCAAATCGTAGTTTAAATTGATCCCTGCCTAACACAATACATTTGGTGTCTGTTTTCCGTTTCAGATCTGAGTCATGGAAATTCTGTCACTCAGTCGCTGTCCTCAGATGTTCGGACAGAAGGAGAAGTGGTGACTATAAGCTGTACCTATGATACTACATGGAACAACTATGTATTATACTGGTACCGACGACACTCAGACACACAGCCCGAGTATATACTGTGGAAAAATAACAATAACAATGAGCATAAAGCAGATTTTGCTAAAAGTCGTTTCTCTGCAGAACTTCAGACTTGGAAGAAATTTACCAGTTTAACTATCACTCGGCTGGAACTGACTGACACTGCCGTGTATTACTGCGCTCTCAGTGGCACAGCGATGATAAACGGTCTCTCCCCTGTACAAAAACTGCCTTAGATAGAATGATTTATTGAGGTTTTTGCAGAGTCTCGGGAAGTTACTATGTGCTTTCAGGAGCCTAATCAAACACCGTGAGGAAACCAAACCAACCTAGCATCAAACGGTCACCGAACTGTTTCCCTGGGATGCTGAGAAAATAAACTGCAAAAAACCCTGAGCATAAACACAGACACAGAACGATGAGTGAACACACCCATTCTAATTCCCACCACCAACAATTTGCAGTCCTGTGATTTGTAGACAGTAAGCTGGGAGGCAGCTCTCTCTCTCAGAGATTCCCATTCTCATCTCCCACAGAAGGTAGTGGGAGAAGAGCATACAGACACAACACAGCTGTTTGCTGAGGGCGGGGTTTTAGAATGAATGATGATTTTGATTTGATTGGATTGAGGGATGTTGCATCAATCCTGTCATCACACAAAATGTATCTATCAGATTCGAACACAGCATGGCAATTGGCCCTGTGTGTGTGTGTGTGTGTGTATGCGTGTGTGTCTGTATGTATGCATGTGTATACGTTTGTGGGAGCGTTTTTGTGAGTGTGTGTGTCCACGTCTCTGGTTTTATGAGTGTTTGTGTATGTGTATGTGTTTAGCTGTGTGTTTTTGAGTGTGTGTGTGTCTTTGACTGTTTGTGTGTATGTTACATTGCGTGAACGCTCAGCATAACAGTGAAATTATAGATGCTGCACCTGCACTGTACTTCATATCAATCTCCCTCTCCTGGTGTTTCTCGGTATCACTGCCGGTATCACCACTGTCTCATATGTATAGATCTGCCTGTTTGCTTCTGTATGGACACTCAGTTCCGTCTTTATCACCTTCTGCACGCGTCTCTCTGAGTTTCACCTTCATTCTCTCACTCTTTTGGATTATCTGTGTATCAGTGAACTCAGAATCAATTTGGTTGGAGACACCACGTTGGAGCAAAAAAAAAATCATGACGTTGCCTTTAATCTCAAATTATCAAGTTTTCTTTCCAACTACATTTTCACAGTGGTTACTCTCATTACTGATTCCACTATTGTTCTCCCAGTATAACTAATATACTGTGTAAGAGGTCCCGGGTCTTTGCATTTCAGTTATTGTGTGTAGATGTATAACAGCTGCACTTTGCGCTGTGCCTTGCTGAACACTACATAGAGGCGACCCGCTGTTTAGTTCAGTGTTGTACTCCTGTCAAAAGGACATGCAGATGGAGGTGCAATTGACATTGATTACCCTCATTATCCAGAATAGTCACCCAGGTGAGTTACATTTGAGATTCCTACGGGGTCACTGATGTGCAATGGTAGTGTCCCTAGCTCTAGGATAAATAGGTGTTGTTTCTAGATTCACCTGGTTGAAACCTCTGAATGATATCTCTGAACAGTTTGTTTAGAAAATCCCAAATTTTGACTGGTTTTGATTCATGTAATAGTTCCAAATTGAACATTGAAGCTGCACAAAGTTCATTCTCACTCAGTTATTGCTGCTCCCCTGTAAGGTTGTTATAGCCGCGATGGCGAGGCTGTTAGTATAGCTCCCATCTCACCAATGTTTCTGTATTGGGCAATGTCTCAGTGATGATCACTGCACAGAGGCAGATGGTGGCATTCTCCCTCCTGCTGTCTCTGACAGTCCAAGTGCTGTATTCCAGTTCCTGGTGAAGATTGGATAGAATCCTTACTGCTTTGACCACGCTGCCCGAGGTGATGATCAGAAGCTGTGGCTCCCTTCTGTCACGCCACCGGTACCACTTCAAGGAGCTGACCAAAGTGCTGGTGCTGCAGTTCATTGTCACTGATTAGCCTTCCACAGCCATGACTGCTGGAGGAGACTGTGTGAACCGCTTTTTAGCCAGGAGATCTGTAACATGGAGTCAAACCTCATGGAAGAAATGATGTGAGGAGAGAAGGGTGCAAACATCCAGATTCCGAGAAACATATTGCATTTCCCAATGGAAACTGGCCATCATTCAAATAGGCATATCCTGGTGTATATTCAGACACCCTGTTACTTTTCACTATTTTTAAATAAAGTATGTTCTCTTCTCACCCCTAGGCTTTTCAGTCTGTCGCTAAAAATATATATATTTACACTATTCCCGTTATCTAACCATATGTCTGAATCTTCGCTTCTCAACATTCACTCTGAGAAAATGTCTCGACTTGATGTTCCAATGATGTTATTAGTTATTGGGTGATTAGGCGCCTGAGGAGATGTGAGCATCGCTAGCCAGCAAAGTGCTTGTTGCCTATCCCTATTACCCATGGTGATGGTGTTGATGAGCTGTCTTTTCAAATGGCCGTAAGCCTTGTTGTGGAGGTAGGCACAGGTAGCCATTACAAAGTGGAGTACAGGATTTTGACCCAGCAACACTGAAGGAACCGTGATATATTTCTAAGACAGGGTGGTGAGTAGCTTGGAGGGGAACTTGTAGGGGGTGGTGTTCCCATGTATCAGCTGTCCTTGTCCTTCTAGATGGAAGTGGCCATTGGTTTGGAAGGTGCTGCCAAATTTTGTTTTGCTTACCTCACAAGACTCAATAATAAAGGATATCTTTAATAAACCCAGTAATTATGCTGTCTCATAATGGAAATTTGTAAACATCACATGATGGTTAAAGGTGAAAATCTAAAGTGTAACTCACCTGACAATTACATTCAGCTTGAGGATAAATAACGTTAATTGCAAATCCAACTTCATGTCCTATTGATAGGAGTGCAAGACAAAAGTAAACAATGGCTCTCTTCCCTATAGTGCACAACAGGCCACAGCAGGAAGTGCAGTTGTTACAGTTCCACCCACACCTTAAACAAAAGACAATGACCTGGGATTTTGTTTCCGTCTGTGCATGCAAATATTAGTGTTAATGTGTATGTGTGCGCGAATAAGAACGTTTTGTTGTGCATATTTGCTTTGAGATCTTTGTGTGTTTAGTTTGATGCGTTCTGCTGTGTATTGTTCTGTCTGTCTGAATGTGTGATTAGGAACGAATTCAAAAGATAAGAAACTTTCACCTGGAGAGTTGTCTTACGGATTTAATATGAGCCCAGAAACGGCTGGCTGTCGCTTAGTGAGATATATTGACTGGAAGGGTGATAATGAATGAATCGATAAAGAAAAACGTAGTCTCTTTCTTTGCCTCATTCCCTTCGTTGAGCCCGATGAATGCCGCCCTCTTCCGTCCCAGGCCCCAAGAAGACTTTCCACATCAAGCAGATGTTCACCTGCACATCTGCCAATGTGGTATACTGCATCCGCTGTACCCGGTGTGGCTTCCTCTACATCGGGGAAACCAAGCGGAGACTCGGGGACCGCTTTGCAGAACACTTACGCTCGGTTCGCAACAAACAACTGCACCTCCCAGTCGCGAACCATTTCAACTCCCCCTCCCATTCCTCAGACGACATGTCCATCCTGGGCCTCCTGCAGTGCCACAACGATGCCACCCGAAGGTTGCAGGAACAGCAACTCATATTCCGCTTGGGAACCCTGCAGCCCAATGGTATCAATGTGGATTTCACAAGTTTCAAAATCTCCCCTCCCCCCACCGCATCCCAAAACCAGTCCAACTCGTCCCTGCCTCC